TTTGCGTTTTTTTTTTTTTTTTTACATGTCGATATGCTTATCTAATTATCATCGGATAATATCTCGAGTTTTTGATGAACATTGAAAGCCTTTGCTGGTGAGTGGGAAAAAAATGTCTACGGTGATAAATACGCTATTACGATCGGTATTTGTAAAAACAAATAATAGACCAAAGGTTTTCATTGCTCCTTTTTTGACGCTGTTTTTAATGTCACGCTGGTTAAGAATTTGCGAATCATTCAATTTTTTGGAATTTGAGATTGAAAAAAAAAAAAAAAAAAAAAAACAAGGAATAAGTACCTGCGTTTCTATTGTTATCGACGCGATGCAACGAAAATAATTATTTCGAAGAAGCACAAGGAAGGAGACAAAAAATAAAAATAATGTAGTTTTTTAAAATTATTATCGAGCGTCTCGCGTTAAGCGACATGAGTATGTAGCAGCGCGTGTGTCGGTAGACGCGTTCCGAATAAACAATAGGCACACACGTGCTGTCTCTTTATGTCTTATCTATACATATAGGTATACACATAATATATACGCGTTGTACACACGCTCCCGATAATTCGTGCGAGTTTTTATTATTTTTCAAATCACGACCGGCAAATCTTCACTGTCTTATCTCGCGGTACAACGCCAAGATTGGCACTAAGTACACACTCTCCTGACTTTGTAATATATAGTGAGCAAATTCCTTTTTTTTTTTTTTTTTTTTTTTTTTTTTTTTTTTTTTTTTAATTTCGTATGGTAAAAAATTTCCTCTAGTAAATAGATAAAAGCGCGTGTAGCTAATTATTCTTCCAAATAAGCAAAACAGTACGAATAAGTATACACGGCACGAGTTTAAAGCGATTCTATATTTTCAAAAAATCCCCTAACAACAAGCTCCAGCAAATACTTAACTCACAGGAGAATGCGTGTGTATATGCGTACAGTACAAAGGTCGAGAGCGAAAACCACCGACGTGAGGCCTTGCCTCAGACAGAACACACTCGCGCACATTGTACATCACCTCACCGGCTATCAGTATGTACGGCGTTGAGTCTCAACGAATGGAGGACGGGTAATCGATTATCGGCAGCCATCAGATATGTTGAAAAAAAAAAGATAAATATTATATTGCAGGATTACAATTGCAATATCGTTGCTATTGTTTTGCATTGTATACCCTGGTCAGATAAATTAATAAATATGCAGACGTGGGCACAATTATTTTATTAATTTTTTTTTCAATAATATTACTTTACGGAATAAAAATGTGATATTCAGGATGGTATTTTCTTCTGTGAAGTTTTGGATATAAAATTTAGGAGCGCTCGTCATCCTTACGCAGAATCGGATGGTTATTTTTATTTTGCAATCAATAAAACAAAAAATTGAGAAAAATACTCAATGCCGGTGACGCGTCGCGATGAGATCCGTGCGACGTTCGAGAGCAGGTTGGAAAAAACTCCCATATCCCGAAGCAAGCCGGTCGGCCGGCGTGAAAATATTGAGTTCGTGATTTTTACGTGCACGCATGTACTTGTTGCACCTACGTAAAAAGAAAAAGAGAGAAAAAAAAGGACTCTTGTGTGTAAACGCGTGATCGGGCTTACAGTGTCATTACGCGGCAGTGGCGTCGCATGTATCGCGGCACTACAACGCCGATCCTCGGATGGTTGGCCTCAGACGGTCGAGGACGCTCGAACCACCCGTATCGAAGAGTTTTTTCTCCCCCCCCCCCTGAGTTCGCGGCTATCTATAAAGTTTTGGAAGGAAGAATTTTTTCATCTAAAGGTTTTTGCGCTTATGGTGGGTTGAGTGGATTTTTTGTTGTTTTTTTGATCTAAAATTACGCATTGCGAAAAAAGTGCGCTGATGGCAGATATTCCGGATGAAAAGTTTAATCGACGGTCACTAATTTTATAACGTAAGTATATAATGTAGTTTACTTTTTTTTACGGCTACGTAGTTATGATTAGGTTGTGCCTTGGTGATAGGATCCCAATATAATTAACGATATAAATATAAAATCATTTAGTTAATTTTAAAAATTGTAATAAACCAAAAATCATCTTTTTTTTTGTTGTAAAATTCATTTCGTCAATTGTTTTTCAATACTTTGTATTAATAACAACTTAAATACAAATTCAAATTCAACTTAAACAAAAAATTCAAATTATGAAGCAAAGTGTCGCCGGAAAACCTTATCCGCCTTGTACCCTTGAGCTTGATTATCAGTAAAGCTGTAGTTTTTTTTCGACTCGAAAGTAAAATATTTTTCAAGAGTTTTAAAATTATCAATATACATGTATCGAAAACTTGTTAATTTTATACGCGTACACCTCGAAATAGTGAGATTAGTTGTCGTATTTTAGTCGTATTTGCGTGTTTTTGTTAATTTACTCGATAAACACTCTCGCTAATAGTTTAAATGTACTACTTTATTTTTCGTACACATAGTCAAAGGTATCTTGTTGAAAAATAAAAAATAAAAAGTTCTACTTAAAGTATTATTAAAATTCAAACGAAACACGAGTTGTAAATCACATAATTAGGACAGGGTCTGAACATTATACATTTTAAAGCCAACGTTATGATGAAAATGACACTTTGGAGCACAAGTGTATGTAAACATTTTTTTCGGGCAGTAATAGTCCCAAGGATTGCACAGAAAAAGTTTTATCGCTGTGCCGAGGCCGCATTATCATATTGTGGTAAACAAACAAAAAAAAGAAAAGAAAAAAAGGAGATGGTCGATCGACTAAAAATTGCCAGTACAATTGATACGAGTTTACGCGCTGATCTTGTAAAATAAAGATGCGTAAATATATCAGGGATTGCGAGTTCTTTCGATTTTTTTTGGTCTTTTTCTCACACTTCAACTACGGTTGATGCTGCGATAAAAAAAGCGCTCGTTTATTAACATTTTTTTTTCTTTTTCGACGATCACTGTGTCACAAATTATGCCAACGTAGCGATGATTCACGATGCGACCAAATTATATAAAATTAATTTTTGATCTAACGTAGACTTGATAAGCTGTACGAAAATTATATATGCTAAATTGCAAGCCTCCAATACAAACACAGCCATTCTACGCTTACTAATTTTTTCATCGTCGCGCATCTTAAGTATAAGTTTTTTTTTTTTAATGCAACATCAAACGTCTTGCCAAAGAAAAGATCACCGTATTTCGGCGCGCACGCGAGCAACCGACACTTTTTCTTCATTGTCAGTTTGGCATTGTCATTTGACGCATACATTGACGGCCTACTGAATTATCACACGTGCGTATTATGCGCAATGTGACGCTTGTTGTTTGGGGATTTTCGTACACTTCCTGCGCACTTTTATTTCACAGAATATTAATTTGGCTTTTTTTTTTTTTTTTATCACATTTATCGATAAAGGAAAGGTTGGTTGAAAAGCTCGGCTACCGAACAGTTTTTTTTCCATCTTTTACTGCTGCTGAGCTAAAAAATGCTGATGATTTATCACCCGATGGGTGTAATCATATGTACCTGTTTTGCTCGAGTCGGGCAATCCGAATGGCTTTTGCAGCCGTGAAGATGCATAAATTTTCATCACAAGTCAATAAACCCCATTGAAGTTTATCAGCATTTGTTGAGCTAAATACTTCTGTGGAATCGAGTATATAGTTTAACGTATATACAAGGTAGATTATACACAGCCTCGTCCTTTTTTTCAGTCATCTTTGAGGTGATGGCTGTTCAATAGTCGTGCGATTCTATGCATTTTTTGCAAATAAATTACTTTAACGGTTATACATGTATATATGTGGCTCTATTCGGGACGCAAGTTTTTCATCCTT